GTATGAGACTACATTGCCTCATTACAAACTGTATTTGTATAATATTTTCAAAGGATTCTGACAAAATATACATCAATTTTCGACGCTCACAGTAATGTTTTTTGTGTGTTTCTATATTTTCGTTTCTTTTAATACAGCCAACGAAATACTCTATATTTTTAGTGCTTATGTTACGTTAATTGTACATAATATAATTTTAATTATTTATTATTCAGCATCGTAGAGACCAAGTATGTTAAACCCTTTTTCTCTCTGCAGCGAATGATTGTTACAAAATTTATTGTAAACAGTGAGGATGCATTTTATATACGACGTTAATCAAAATCAAAACGTAAAGTAGAATAGTATCGGTAATATCCATTTTGCCTTTCAATGAAAAAAGGGGAAACTGGCATGTAATAGAGAATAATATTCGCTCTATAGAAATAGGTATGGTGCATCCTATAAAGAAGCAAGTGAACAAAAGAGCACAAAGAAAGGTAACATCTAGAAAGCTGTTCAAATATGCCTTTGAACAACGTAACAATTGAATTTACGTGCAGTGAACACTTCAAGCAAAATGTTCTATATATAACAGATATCTTACTGCTATCGTAGAGTTCGCTTTCAGACATTTCGGCCATTTTCGTTTGCGTGATGTCCTTAAACGATGCAAGAAAAAGCACCACTTCCCGCTTCTCGTTCTTAATCGGGACAATATCCAGCAGACACCAGAATGGAGTACCTGAAAAAATAAAATTGGTTTTCTTTGAGTTTCATATTCAACTCTTTTTACAAATACGTACAAATAAATTTCACATAACGTATATAAAGGAGCATTTTGGTACATTGAAAAGGAAATCAGGATAAAGGAACGAACAGGGTGGAATGTCTCTCACCCAATAGGGACAAATATCTAATATGAGAGCTTGGCTATATGTATGTAAACTTAAAGCGATATTGCTGGACTATTCAAACTATTGAAATTACAAAAAACGTTTTTTTCAATTCTTGGTAGGATAAAAAATTGAGTCTCATTTCACAAAGGGGTAGTTTTTCTATTTGTTTAGTAGCGGCTAGTACTTACATTTATAATACTACATAGACACGTTCCCACTCCTATTTTTTGAAAATGCTTTTGCTTTTTAGTAATATTTTAACTATTCTGGTACTTATGACGAAACATATCAATTTTTTTCTTACAATAACGTTTCGTCCAACACAACGAGCGTTTTCAATTAGTATAACTGTATCTATAATAAAATTTAAATGGTGCTACGTACAGGGTGTCACTGAATATCTATTAGTAAATTTCAGAAGTGATAGGAGACACCTAAATGAACAAGAAATGTTTCAGTATTCAAAAAAAATCGGCAGTCATCCCAGGACATTTCCGACGGTATACAATAAGTCCTCTTCCTGGGAAAGTAAAAGTGGTTTTACGTGTATCACAAATTAGTCTGTATTAGATAAAATGCGTCGTATTACAAATATTGAATTAGCAGACATGTATAATTACCTACGGAGTAGCTTACAGTAATACTAACGAAGCAAGGCGAATTATTCGGAGGAGGATCACAATTTAACATTTCCTGACATACACCATTTTCGAGATTAGGGGAGAGTGCGATATCTTTGGCACCGAAATGTGATGATGTATTTTGGTGAAATAATCCAAAATAAGAAAATTAAGAGTAAAATTTTCATTTGCTTGCTTCGTTTTCGAGATATCGATAGTTGAAGTTTTAGTTTCCAATTTATTAATTTCATTGGAAGTATAATCATTTTTAACATTAGATATCAAACCAGTTCACACATGCCGTTCCACGCGAAAACCAATGTGAATTGGGATACAGGCTGCTAAAATTTTTCTAATTAGACGAAGTTCTGCAAATAGTTAAGGATGTTAGATGTTCTACTTTTAGGGATATGCGAAGATTAGCTCAGGATAGGAAGGAGTGGAGGTGCGTGTTCAACCAGTCTAAGGACTTATGATGATGATGAAGGTATACAAGGTACGACTCTATGACTCACGAACCGTACATTCTTTAATACATAAACAACAGTTGTCACCCTTTCCCTAATCAGCATAACACTTCTTTTATTTTTTATCTTGAAAACTAAATGAAATATCAAAACAATTCTTCTTCGAACTATTCTTCGTTTTCTTTCTATTTTGGACTGCTTTACTAAAATATACTGTCGAATTTCGGTGCCAAAATAATCATAATTGTGCCCAAGGTTCGATCAGCGTATTTGAGATACTAGTCAATTCCAAGTCAATAAAATACATTTGGGGCCAATCATATTGTCTAATTTTAATGAATAAGTTTTGCAACGATTTGTACGATAATCCGAAAAGAAGTACTCGTGCCATTGCCCATGCGTTGCATACAAGCGATACATCTGTATGGAGGTATTCAAGGAATACAAACAGCATCTTATTTCACATTCAATAAGTGCAATTGTTAATTCCAGCGGACTATCCCAACAGAGTTCAATTTATAGAGTGGTACCTGAATAATATTAATGACGAACCAATTAAGATTTCCTAAGAGTATAATACGGATCGATGAGAAATATTTTACAAAAGATGACTATATTAATACACAGTTTGCATCATCAATGGAAGTTTTCTGTAAAGGTTTTGGTCGGAATTGTTGACAATTATGTAATGGGTTCATATTTGCTGGCTGCTCGGTTAGATGATAATGTAGAGGATTTTTCTGGAGCATATTCTACCAGAATTGCTTGATAATATCTAACTTAATATTTGAAGAAATAGTGTTTTCTAGCATGATAGTGCACCAGCATATTTTGGACTGATTTGAATTATCTAATGCACAATTTCCAAATGGTGGAAGGGGGCTGATTGCTTGATCGGCACCCATAACTCCAATAGATTTTGGTATTTTGGGTCATAAAAAGACTTTTGGGTGTTTCATTCCCACCAGACACTAATGCTTGTGGGCGGGCAGTCCCTCCGCGCTACGCCGGAAGCCCCTCTTCAGCCACCTTTCAGGAATCGTGGGAATGAGTGAGTGGTGGTTCGGGTGAGAAAGATGAGACGGACGAAATGAAGACAGAAGGGAATGAAAGATTATCTGTGGAATATTGCTGCTCCAGCATTTGCCTAAATGATCTAAGGAAACCACAGAAAAACTTGGACCAAGGCAGACGGACCCGGAATCGAACCCGCGTCCTCCCGAATGCTAAGCAATGGTCTAGACCTGTAGGCTATGCCGCTCGGTTTGGGTTATATTAAACCACTGCTTTATGAGATACCTCTTAATGTAAAAGAAATTCGTGAACAATTTTGTTAGAAGAATTCGGCAATCGGTTACACATTGTTGCAACTTGTGATTCGAACATTGTGGTCGTAACTTTTAACAATTTTTATGAAGTCTGATGCAGTATTATTTTTATTGCTGTGTTCGTTATAGTTTTTATCGAAAGTACTAACGGCTCTATTCGAAGCATTTTCAGACAATAGACACTTAGATATTAGAATGGGGACACGCGATTTGATAACGACTCTGAAAGCGATGTGGTTTAAGAGTTTAAGACAGAAAACGTGAATCATTTATTGTCGTCATTTGGAAGACTTATTTAGAGATGTTCTTCTAACTGACATTACTGTAAAAATAATTGAGCATACTTTTCATTCAATGAAAAGGGGTCTAAAAATCATTTTTCCAAAATCTCATCATTTTTGTGTGTTATCAGTCTATTTTGATGAGATTATAAATGACAGATTTTAGAAGACTGTGACACGGAGTGGCATGGTTTAAACGAGCATTCGAGGAAGGGGGTATCGGCCCCATTTTGGATCTGTCTGCCTTGGTCCAAGATTTTTAGTGATTCCCATGTGTCGCAAGTGGTTCATTCATTTTCCTTTTGTCTTACTTTTGTTCGTCTCATCTTTCTTCAATCATCCATTTCCTCTATTCCTAAAAAAAGGTTGAAGACTGTTTTTCGTCCTTCCCTTCGGCTTTGTATTAATGTATAGGTTGTAGAGATTACACGCCCACAAACATTTGCGGTCGGTAGGAATGAAAGCAGACTAAGGCTTTTAGGTGGGCAAATTATGAAAATTAAATGGTTGGACAGGTCAATATAATTGATTTGAACATATACATGTATATAGGTCCAAGTACAAGTTAGAACATCCAAAGGAAAAAGTTTCAAAGTGTTCGTACACGCTAGGAGTATTACATTACCTACCATTTTTCTTGTAGAAAATAACTTCCAACTTGAGTTCAGTCTTAAGTTCGAGGGCTTTGTCTATCTGACTTTTGTGCTCTTCTTTAGTTTCGGTTCCGTACAGAAACTTGCATGCGCACCCCTTCTGCATAATTTGCGCTCTTGTGAAACCAGTAAGTTCACAAAAACCATCTGAGCAGTAAACGATTGGATACAGCGTTGGCACTTGTGCATTTCCCAATACGAAATTACTGTCTGCAAAGAAAAACAAATGGTAAAAATCGAAATATAAGCATTGTTAAATATAAACAAGCGATACGGGGCTTCCTAATGTTTGAAAAATGTTTTTAATTTTACTCTATAGTAATTGTTTCGACAGGTATTAGATTTCTTGGCTTTAAGACACTCTTTAATTCAGTGTTCTAGAAGATCTAAACATATTCGTTTATGTTTTTGTTTTCTATGTAACAATTAAATGTTTTAAATGTTGACGAATATATCTGCGTGCCCTGTGCTGACATAGTAGTACGTTTTTTATGAGAAATAATGTTTTGTAGTTAGTCATTTTGACCTATACAGGTTGTTTCTGAAATATAAGGTCTGTTCAAAAAGTATCGCAAAATTTGAATTTCCGCGGGTTACGTATATTTGGTAAGGATGACACGCAAAATCGTAAAGCGTTCCACATTTTCCCTGTTCGACGGGACTTGAACCTTCACGAAATTCTTGTACAAACTAGAGTGGGTGGATCGGCTTGCGAGTTTCATTTAGGGAGCCGGACCATAGGTTTAACCATAGTGGAGGGGTTCTTACAGAGAAACCAGGTTAAGACAAGTCCCTGAAAGAGGGCAACAGCTCTTATTGTAATCAGGGTGGCAGAGATCACGAGTATCGGTATGACACTCTGATGCACAATACTACGATGTGGAAGGCAACGGGAAACCACCACATTATGATATCCCAAAAATACACCAAACTCAAATGATGGCGTCCTCTGGGGTAAAGCACTCCGGATGTAAACTAGTTCCTCATTTAGATGTCCTGGTGGAGATTACCTCGGGGTATGTCATCAATAAGTGCAATAGGGGTAGGTACAATATTTCACGTGTCGGAGAGGACAATAAGGCAAGTAGGGGACTTGGAAAATTTGACTCTATGGAAGTCAATAAGAAATAGGCGAGATAGGTTGGTAGGACACTTTCTCAGGCATGAAGGTCTAGGCAGACACAGGAGGAGTAGAGGAGTAGAGGAGACCTAGATTAGATTACTGTTCACAAATAGTTAAGGATATGGGATGTTCTATCTTTACGGATATGCGAAAATTACTTCAGGATAAGAAAGATTGGAGGTACGTGTCCAACCAGTCCTAGGACTGATGACCTTATGATGATGATGACGTATATTTATTTTCGATTTTTTGTGACGTTATGTTGGTACTCTTGTCTCTCACTTATGCGCGGATGCTTAACTATGCGAATGTTGACTGTGGCATTTGGTAAAGCTACCTTGGACCGAAGCAACGTTTATCGGTGGTAGAAAATGTTTTTAGATGGCCGAGAAGATGTGAACGACGAAGAGCGTGCGAAACGTCCGGGCACATATCGATTGGTTCCTGCAATTCGATTTTTACTAATGATTTGGGCATGCGACGGATCGCCGCGAAATTAATACTAAAATTGCTCAACTTCGACCAAAAACAGCATAGCGTTAACATTACGAAGGAGTTGTTGGACTAGTCCGCGACGACCCGAATTTGCTCCAGAGGTTCACAACTGGTTACGAATCATGAATTTATGGTTATGACGTGGAAACAAAAGCTCAATGCTGCGGTACGAGCCAATACCGAAAAAAGCGCGCCAAGTTAGGACAAATATGAAGGTTTTATTTTTCACAGTTGTCTTTGATTGCAGGGGCGTGGTGCACTATGAGTTCTTGCCACAGGTTAGAACGGTCAATTAGGAATATAACCTACCAGTTATGTGCAATTTGCGCTAAGTAATCCGCCTAAAAATCCGGATTTATGGAACAACAGAAATTGGCTTTTGCAGCATGATAACGCCCCTGCTCACATATCGTTTTTTGTGCGCGAATTTTTGACCAGTTCTTCAATCACGCTGTTTTACTCACATTGTTATTCCCTATTGCATCTAATTAGCACTCCCCAAAGCTTCACGGAGAAGACTAAATTTTTATGACAACGCAAAAATTACAATTTTCGATTGTAAATGACTTAATTAAATATCGCTTTAATATTTAGGGAAATTTCCGTTTGTTTTTCATTTTCTTCGTGTTGCTACTTATTTTAGAAACACTCCATACAAAATGCGTCACAGATGATTTTGTATACCACTTGATAAGTTTCTACAGAAACCTGTTTCCATATTATTAAAAAAAGATCTTGAAACAATAAAAGAAATCAATTACGCTACCTAAGAAGTACTTCACTAGAAGTTCAATTTTTAATCTTTGCTCTGGGCTTGTAATTTTCAGTAACGATTACCTACAGACTTTAAAGCAAAAGCCTAAATTCGTAGAAAATTATTTAATATATACAGACAATTGAGATCGCATGAAAATTGTTGTCAAAGATTAATTTTAAGCTTCTCGTGCAAAAGGGTGTAAAGTGTCTGCTCGTCTATGTGTTTCTATGGTTATCGGTGGCATTATAATCCTAGAATAGATGACATGATTATCGAGCTGTCTGTTTTGTTGAAAAAACCACATGTTAAGTGAAATATATCTTTATACATTTAACATAGCTTTTCCCGAAATGATTAGCATTAATCAAAGTAACCAAGAGTCATCAACCACTATTACAGTTGGTAACTTGGAAATTTATTTGGAATGCCTAATTGTCTAACTTCATATGTGTCCGTTTTCAATTTTTTTATCAAATATACGTACGGGTAATATTTTTTGTTTATAATTTTGTAACCTTTTTACAAAAGCATTGTCCTCCCACAATAGTGAGGCTGAAGAGAATATAAAACCTTTGCTATTTCATAAAAAAAATTATTCTTTAACCGCTTTTTGGCTTTATCGATCCATATTTTGGACCTTCGACTATGGCGTGGAATTAATTTAATGAATTTGTAGGTATCATTTTCTGGCGCTTTTAAGCTAAAAGAGATAATATTCATCACAAATATGTTTAAAATTATGCAAAAATTGAAAAATTATGTCAGAAACAATGCATATTGTTAATGGAAATAAAGGTGGCTCTAAATGCTAACAAAAGTATTTTACTTTTATAGATATAATATAAGATACACCTTATANTTTTAATTATTTATTATTCAGCATCGTAGAGACCAAGTATGTTAAACCCTTTTTCTCTCTGCAGCGAATGATTGTTACAAAATTTATTGTAAACAGTGAGGATGCATTTTATATACGACGTTAATCAAAATCAAAACGTAAAGTAGAATAGTATCGGTAATATCCATTTTGCCTTTCAATGAAAAAAGGGGAAACTGGCATGTAATAGAGAATAATATTCGCTCTATAGAAATAGGTATGGTGCATCCTATAAAGAAGCAAGTGAACAAAAGAGCACAAAGAAAGGTAACATCTAGAAAGCTGTTCAAATATGCCTTTGAACAACGTAACAATTGAATTTACGTGCAGTGAACACTTCAAGCAAAATGTTCTATATATAACAGATATCTTACTGCTATCGTAGAGTTCGCTTTCAGACATTTCGGCCATTTTCGTTTGCGTGATGTCCTTAAACGATGCAAGAAAAAGCACCACTTCCCGCTTCTCGTTCTTAATCGGGACAATATCCAGCAGACACCAGAATGGAGTACCTGAAAAAATAAAATTGGTTTTCTTTGAGTTTCATATTCCTCTTTTTACAAATACGTACAAATAAATTTCACATAACGTATATAAAGGAGCATTTTGGTACATTGAAAAGGAAATCAGGATAAAGGAACGAACAGGGTGGAATGTCTCTCACCCAATAGGGACAAATATCTAATATGAGAGCTTGGCTATATGTATGTAAACTTAAAGCGATATTGCTGGACTATTCAAACTATTGAAATTACAAAAAACGTTTTTTTCAATTCTTGGTAGGATAAAAAATTGAGTCTCATTTCACAAAGGGGTAGTTTTTCTATTTGTTTAGTAGCGGCTAGTACTTACATTTATAATACTACATAGACACGTTCCCACTCCTATTTTTTGAAAATGCTTTTGCTTTTTAGTAATATTTTAACTATTCTGGTACTTATGACGAAACATATCAATTTTTTTCTTACAATAACGTTTCGTCCAACACAACGAGCGTTTTCAATTAGTATAACTGTATCTATAATAAAATTTAAATGGTGCTACGTACAGGGTGTCACTGAATATCTATTAGTAAATTTCAGAAGTGATAGGAGACACCTAAATGAACAAGAAATGTTTCAGTATTCAAAAAAAATCGGCAGTCATCCCAGGACATTTCCGACGGTATACAATAAGTCCTCTTCCTGGGAAAGTAAAAGTGGTTTTACGTGTATCACAAATTAGTCTGTATTAGATAAAATGCGTCGTATTACAAATATTGAATTAGCAGACATGTATAATTACCTACGGAGTAGCTTACAGTAATACTAACGAAGCAAGGCGAATTATTCGGAGGAGGATCACAATTTAACATTTCCTGACATACACCATTTTCGAGATTAGGGGAGAGTGCGATATCTTTGGCACCGAAATGTGATGATGTATTTTGGTGAAATAATCCAAAATAAGAAAATTAAGAGTAAAATTTTCATTTGCTTGCTTCGTTTTCGAGATATCGATAGTTGAAGTTTTAGTTTCCAATTTATTAATTTCATTGGAAGTATAATCATTTTTAACATTAGATATCAAACCAGTTCACACATGCCGTTCCACGCGAAAACCAATGTGAATTGGGATACAGGCTGCTAAAATTTTTCTAATTAGACGAAGTTCTGCAAATAGTTAAGGATGTTAGATGTTCTACTTTTAGGGATATGCGAAGATTAGCTCAGGATAGGAAGGAGTGGAGGTGCGTGTTCAACCAGTCTAAGGACTTATGATGATGATGAAGGTATACAAGGTACGACTCTATGACTCACGAACCGTACATTCTTTAATACATAAACAACAGTTGTCACCCTTTCCCTAATCAGCATAACACTTCTTTTATTTTTTATCTCGAAAACTAAATGAAATATCAAAACAATTCTTCTTCGAACTATTCTTCGTTTTCTTTCTATTTTGGACTGCTTTACTAAAATATACTGTCGAATTTCGGTGCCAAAATAATCATAATTGTGCCCAAGGTTCGATCAGCGTATTTGAGATACTAGTCAATTCCAAGTCAATAAAATACATTTGGGGCCAATCATATTGTCTAATTTTAATGAATAAGTTTTGCAACGATTTGTACGATAATCCGAAAAGAAGTACTCGTGCCATTGCCCATGCGTTGCATACAAGCGATACATCTGTATGGAGGTATTCAAGGAATACAAACAGCATCTTATTTCACATTCAATAAGTGCAATTGTTAATTCCAGCGGACTATCCCAACAGAGTTCAATTTATAGAGTGGTACCTGAATAATATTAATGACGAACCAATTAAGATTTCCTAAGAGTATAATACGGATCGATGAGAAATATTTTACAAAAGATGACTATATTAATACACAGTTTGCATCATCAATGGAAGTTTTCTGTAAAGGTTTTGGTCGGAATTGTTGACAATTATGTAATGGGTTCATATTTGCTGGCTGCTCGGTTAGATGATAATGTAGAGGATTTTTCTGGAGCATATTCTACCAGAATTGCTTGATAATATCTAACTTAATATTTGAAGAAATAGTGTTTTCTAGCATGATAGTGCACCAGCATATTTTGGACTGATTTGAATTATCTAATGCACAATTTCCAAATGGTGGAAGGGGGCTGATTGCTTGATCGGCACCCATAACTCCAATAGATTTTGGTATTTTGGGTCATAAAAAGACTTTTGGGTGTTTCATTCCCACCAGACACTAATGCTTGTGGGCGGGCAGTTCCTCCGCGCTACGCCGGAAGCCCCTCTTCAGCCACCTTTCAGGAATCGTGGGAATGAGTGAGTGGTGGTTCGGGTGAGAAAGATGAGACGGACGAAATGAAGACAGAAGGGAATGAAAGATTATCTGTGGAATATTGCTGCTCCAGCATTTGCCTAAATGATCTAAGGAAACCACAGAAAAACTTGGACCAAGGCAGACGGACCCGGAATCGAACCCGCGTCCTCCCGAATGCTAAGCAATGGTCTAGACCTGTAGGCTATGCCGCTCGGTTTGGGTTATATTAAACCACTGCTTTATGAGATACCTCTTAATGTAAAAGAAATTCGTGAACAATTTTGTTAGAAGAATTCGGCAATCGGTTACACATTGTTGCAACTTGTGATTCGAACATTGTGGTCGTAACTTTTAACAATTTTTATGAAGTCTGATGCAGTATTATTTTTATTGCTGTGTTCGTTATAGTTTTTATCGAAAGTACTAACGGCTCTATTCGAAGCATTTTCAGACAATAGACACTTAGATATTAGAATGGGGACACGCGATTTGATAACGACTCTGAAAGCGATGTGGTTTAAGAGTTTAAGACAGAAAACGTGAATCATTTATTGTCGTCATTTGGAAGACTTATTTAGAGATGTTCTTCTAACTGACATTACTGTAAAAATAATTGAGCATACTTTTTATTCAATGAAAAGGGGTCTAAAAATCATTTTTCCAAAATCTCATCATTTTTGTGTGTTATCAGTCTATTTTGATGAGATTATAAATGACAGATTTTAGAAGACTGTGACACGGAGTGGCATGGTTTAAACGAGCATTCGAGGAAGGGGGTATCGGCCCCATTTTGGATCTGTCTGCCTTGGTCCAAGATTTTTAGTGATTCCCATGTGTCGCAAGTGGTTCATTCATTTTCCTTTTGTCTTACTTTTGTTCGTCTCATCTTTCTTCAATCATCCATTTCCTCTATTCCTAAAAAAAGGTTGAAGACTGTTTTTCGTCCTTCCCTTCGGCTTTGTATTAATGTATAGGTTGTAGAGATTACACGCCCACAAACATTTGCGGTCGGTAGGAATGAAAGCAGACTAAGGCTTTTAGGTGGGCAAATTATGAAAATTAAATGGTTGGACAGGTCAATATAATTGATTTGAACATATACATGTATATAGGTCCAAGTACAAGTTAGAACATCCAAAGGAAAAAGTTTCAAAGTGTTCGTACACGCTAGGAGTATTACATTACCTACCATTTTTCTTGTAGAAAATAACTTCCAACTTGAGTTCAGTCTTAAGTTCGAGGGCTTTGTCTATCTGACTTTTGTGCTCTTCTTTAGTTTCGGTTCCGTACAGAAACTTGCATGCGCACCCCTTCTGCATAATTTGCGCTCTTGTGAAACCAGTAAGTTCACAAAAACCATCTGAGCAGTAAACGATTGGATACAGCGTTGGCACTTGTGCATTTCCCAATACGAAATTACTGTCTGCAAAGAAAAACAAATGGTAAAAATCGAAATATAAGCATTGTTAAATATAAACAAGCGATACGGGGCTTCCTAATGTTTGAAAAATGTTTTTAATTTTACTCTATAGTAATTGTTTCGACAGGTATTAGATTTTTTTGCTTTAAGACACTCTTTAATTCAGTGTTCTAGAAGATCTAAACATATTCGTTTATGTTTTTGTTTTCTATGTAACAATTAAATGTTTTAAATGTTGACGAATATATCTGCGTGCCCTGTGCTGACATAGTAGTACGTTTTTTATGAGAAATAATGTTTTGTAGTTAGTCATTTTGACCTATACAGGTTGTTTCTGAAATATAAGGTCTGTTCAAAAAGTATCGCAAAATTTGAATTTCCGCGGGTTACGTATATTTGGTAAGGATGACACGCAAAATCGTAAAGCGTTCCACATTTTCCCTGTTCGACGGGACTTGAACCTTCACGAAATTCTTGTACAAACTAGAGTGGGTGGATCGGCTTGCGAGTTTCATTTAGGGAGCCGGACCATAGGTTTAACCATAGTGGAGGGGTTCTTACAGAGAAACCAGGTTAAGACAAGTCCCTGAAAGAGGGCAACAGCTCTTATTGTAATCAGGGTGGCAGAGATCACGAGTATCGGTATGACACTCTGATGCACAATACTACGATGTGGAAGGCAACGGGAAACCACCACATTATGATATCCCAAAAATACACCAAACTCAAATGATGGCGTCCTCTGGGGTAAATCACTCCGGATGTAAACTAGTTCCTCATTTAGATGTCCTGGTGGAGATTACCTCGGGGTATGTCATCAATAAGTGCAATAGGGGTAGGTACAATATTTCACGTGTCGGAGAGGACAATAAGGCAAGTAGGGGACTTGGAAAATTTGACTCTATGGAAGTCAATAAGAAATAGGCGAGATAGGTTGGTAGGACACTTTCTCAGGCATGAAGGTCTAGGCAGACACAGGAGGAGTAGAGGAGTAGAGGAGACCTAGATTAGATTACTGTTCACAAATAGTTAAGGATATGGGATGTTCTATCTTTACGGATATGCGAAAATTACTTCAGGATAAGAAAGATTGGAGGTACGTGTCCAACCAGTCCTAGGACTGATGACCTTATGATGATGATGACGTATATTTATTTTCGATTTTTTGTGACGTTATGTTGGTACTCTTGTCTCTCACTTATGCGCGGATGCTTAACTATGCGAATGTTGACTGTGGCATTTGGTAAAGCTACCTTGGACCGAAGCAACGTTTATCGGTGGTAGAAAATGTTTTTAGATGGCCGAGAAGATGTGAACGACGAAGAGCGTGCGAAACGTCCGGGCACATATCGATTGGTTCCTGCAATTCGATTTTTACTAATGATTTGGGCATGCGACGGATCGCCGCGAAATTAATACTAAAATTGCTCAACTTCGACCAAAAACAGCATAGCGTTAACATTACGAAGGAGTTGTTGGACTAGTCCGCGACGACCCGAATTTGCTCCAGAGGTTCACAACTAGTTACGAATCATGAATTTATGGTTATGACGTGGAAACAAAAGCTCAATGCTGCGGTACGAGCCAATACCGAAAAAAGCGCGCCAAGTTAGGACAAATATGAAGGTTTTATTTTTCACAGTTGTCTTTGATTGCAGGGGCGTGGTGCACTATGAGTTCTTGCCACAGGTTAGAACGGTCAATTAGGAATATAACCTACCAGTTATGTGCAATTTGCGCTAAGTAATCCGCCTAAAAATCCGGATTTATGGAACAACAGAAATTGGCTTTTGCAGCATGATAACGCCCCTGCTCACATATCGTTTTTTGTGCGCGAATTTTTGACCAGTTCTTCAATCACGCTGTTTTACTCACATTGTTATTCCCTATTGCATCTAATTAGCACTCCCCAAAGCTTCACGGAGAAGACTAAATTTTTATGACAACGCAAAAATTACAATTTTCGATTGTAAATGACTTAATTAAATATCGCTTTAATATTTAGGGAAATTTCCGTTTGTTTTTCATTTTCTTCGTGTTGCTACTTATTTTAGAAACACTCCATACAAAATGCGTCACAGATGATTTTGTATACCACTTGATAAGTTTCTACAGAAACCTGTTTCCATATTATTAAAAAAAGATCTTGAAACAATAAAAGAAATCAATTACGCTACCTAAGAAGTACTTCACTAGAAGTTCAATTTTTAATCTTTGCTCTGGGCTTGTAATTTTCAGTAACGATTACCTACAGACTTTAAAGCAAAAGCCTAAATTCGTAGAAAATTATTTAATATATACAGACAATTGAGATCGCATGAAAATTGTTGTCAAAGATTAATTTTAAGCTTCTCGTGCAAAAGGGTGTAAAGTGTCTGCTCGTCTATGTGTTTCTATGGTTATCGGTGGCATTATAATCCTAGAATAGATGACATGATTATCGAGCTGTCTGTTTTGTTGAAAAAACCACATGTTAAGTGAAATATATCTTTATACATTTAACATAGCTTTTCCCGAAATGATTAGCATTAATCAAAGTAACCAAGAGTCATCAACCACTATTACAGTTGGTAACTTGGAAATTTATTTGGAATGCCTAATTGTCTAACTTCATATGTGTCCGTTTTCAATTTTTTTATCAAATATACGTACGGGTAATATTTTTTGTTTATAATTTTGTAACCTTTTTACAAAAGCATTGTCCTCCCACAATAGTGAGGCTGAAGAGAATATAAAACCTTTGCTATTTCATAAAAAAAATTATTCTTTAACCGCTTTTTGGCTTTATCGATCCATATTTTGGACCTTCGACTATGGCGTGGAATTAATTTAATGAATTTGTAGGTATCATTTTCTGGCGCTTTTAAGCTAAAAGAGATAATATTCATCACAAATATGTTTAAAATTATGCAAAAATTGAAAAATTATGTCAGAAACAATGCATATTGTTAATGGAAATAACGGTGGCTCTAAATGCTAACAAAAGTATTTTACTTTTATAGATATAATATAAGATACACCTTATAATGCTGATTGGTTAACATCTGGTTTTCAAGGTCTACTTATTTTTTTTTTGCCTCAGTTGTGAACATAGAAGTCATTAGAATCTCGTGATAATGGTAATTATAACGATTTTTAAACAATTTATGTTATGAAGGAGTATAATTTTAGTAATAACAGATGGCGTGTGTTAATATGGTCCTTATTCAGCATCAGAAAGCATATATGCATTTTTAATATATTGTATGTATTATTGTTTTTATGCCAATGTGATCTGTTACAAAAACTCATGTGACTTGATAAATGATAATGGCGGACGTTAGTATAAAAGCTTAATTTGTTAAGCTTTTTTACTACTTGGGTCGTTTATATGGGATCTGCCCCATTAAAATAAGATCTTCGAGTGACAGATCAGAGGGTCGGGGTCGACAGTCGAAGGTTGCTAGGTTTCTTGTTGCTCTAGGTCGCAAAACTTAACTTAACATTTAGGAGTTTCATTCCCACCAGCCAGTAATGCTGGTGGGCGGGCAGTCCCTCCGGACTACGCCGGAAGATAGGGCGGAAGGTCCTCTTCAGCCTGCTTTCAGGAATCGTATGAATGGGTGGGTGGCGGTTCGGGTGAGAAGGATGAGACGGACGAAATGAAGACAGAAGAGAATGAAAGATTATCTGTGGAATATTACTGCCCCAGCATTTGCCCATTTGATCCAAGGAAACCACAGAAAAACTTGGACCAAAGCAGACGGACCCGGAATCGAACCGGCGTCCTCGCGAATGCTAAGCAATAGTCTAAACCTCTACACCATGCCGCTAGGTCGCAAGTAAACGTAAATAAAACAGCCTCCCAGATAATAAATCTCATTTCCCATTTTAATAAGGACTAAATGCGATTTTTTTACTTAGAAGGGTAAGGAGGAATTGCTGTGTGTTTGTCCCTGAAATCAGAAATATATGGTGCTTTCGGTAGGGTTATCTTAAACAACAACTTTTTGCCATTATATTTGATCCTAAGAAAATTTTAGGTCAAGACTGGTCTGAAGATGCTTTCAGGAATGTAATGATGATGAATCTCCTTTTTCCAAAAAAATCGTCTCTTCTTAAGATTAGTTTTATTTCGTTGACGTTTTGGGTACAGTAGCATAGTTGAGGACCCCCGGAAGTTTTTTGTTTAAACTTTAGTATCATTTCCTTTTGGTTATTTCCAAGTAACACAGAAAAATCTCCCGAAAATTATCCTTACCGAGAAATTTCAACTGCTTTTTAACTTCCCATTAGGAAGTTATTGTAATTGGGTCGAAAAGTGAAATCGGAATTTTCATTATATTTCCACGTTTTAACATATTAGTAGCATGCTAGCCAATTTTTTTGATGATGTGTGTATGTACGTACGTACGTACGTACGTACGTACNAATTGCTGTGTGTTTGTCCCTGAAATCAGAAATATATGGTGCTTTCGGTAGGGTTATCTTAAACAACAACTTTTTGCCATTATATTTGATCCTAAGAAAATTTTAGGTCAAGACTGGTCTGAAGATGCTTTCAGGAATGTAATGATGATGAATCTCCTTTTTCCAAAAAAATCGTCTCTTCTTAAGATTAGTTTTATTTCGTTGACGTTTTGGGTACAGTAGCATAGTTGAGGACCCCCGGAAGTTTTTTGTTTAAACTTTAGTATCATTTCCTTTTGGTTATTTCCAAGTAACACAGAAAAATCTCCCGAAAATTATCGTTACCGAGAAATTTCAACTGCTTTTTTTTATTTATTTTGCTCCGGCAGTTTCAGATCATCATAAATACATTACATAATTTTAGTTTATTTTACAAGGTCTGTGAACCACCTCTGATATTTGTATGTGGGCATAATGGTTCCCTGTACCCCTTAAAATAATTACATTTCAACTAATTTGATCTATATTGATCGTTTGAAAGGTTTGAGGTAATATGTGGTAATTTAAAAATCAAACTGGCACCTTTGATTGGACAATAATATTTCAAAAGTACT